TATATATACTGTATAATATGTATGTAAAGAAATAATCGTTACATTTTTGTAACATAATTTTTCTTTTTTAAGGTATTTTATTCAACTTGTATCACCATATTGGGAACTTTAATATTGTTCTGAAATGTCATTTTTAGCCATACAGTGTTACAACATTAACTGTTGTCTCTCTTTCTTTCATATGCAGATGAACAGCTGTGTGTTTGACACCTTCATGTTGGAGACCGGGAACAAAGTGTTTTTCCCCAAAAGAACATGCTTTCGGTCTATAGCAGTGACTCTCAATATTGTTAATTTTGACTAGTCATAGCACCGGCTGCAATGCTGGGAGAGACAGAATAGAAACAGTTCTGCTTTGGTTCTCAAGCTGTCGAGATGTTTTCTGATGGAGAAGCTAATTCAATGAAAATGCAGACTATATCGAGCCGACGCCATTATGGGGGTCTGATAAAGGCAACGTCCGTCTGCTCCATAACCTGCTCTGAAGTGATGACCTCATGGACAATTTGAACTCCGGCCAACAGGAGTCCTAATCTGAAGCTGACACCCTGTCTGAGACACAGCAATGTCCCCAACCTGGGTGAGGCTGTCCAACTGTACCTCTAGAACGGCAGCACAAATTGCTTCACAAAGCAGTTGGTAAACTCAGCAGTCGAGGCACTTTGATATCTCCTCAGGAGGATAACTTACTTTTGTCCTTGATTACTGTAGTTGTTGTCATATGATTCATATCCTTGGTCATCGTAAGCTGTTCCGTAGTCATCGTCATACTCCTATAGGAACAAACAAATAACCTGGTTACTATTAGTGAGACAGATTTTTGAACTACAGAGTGAAGAGTTTACATGATCTGCCATACTGTTTGGTAGACTGAACCAATGTCAGAAACAGGCTTAGATTCAATAGCAACCAGTCTGTACAGCTCCACGATTTGATTTCATCTGTTATGTAAGAGCATTTTGTGTATTTAAACAGGAAAATGAAATGTATAGCTTTTATTGAGGCACACTTACAGGTCAAGCTTCACATTTAGCTTCACATTATTGCTAACCGCCAAAGGCAAAAGGCAGATGATGTGTTTGTATGTTTGCTAGTTTGTTGTGTTAGCAAAACAGCTCATGGGGCAATGTACAGATTTTAAGAAAACGTTTGAAATAAATGTGCATCTATAACCAACACCAGAAATCAAGCCAGTTCAAGATTGCAGCCACAGCTTAACAACAAATACAAACCAAATTTTACAATATTTGAGTGACGATCAGGTGTTCGTTTGTCTGTTAGAAAAAAAACTCACAAACTGCTGGATAGATTAAACTCACAAGAAAGGCATCACTGGAYGTATACCTACTAGGGGTGTTGAAAAAAATCAATTCTTAAAAGGATAAAAGGAGATTCATAGTTATGGCGATTCTGAATAGATTCTGAWCTTCCACAAATCGATTTTAAAATGCGTTTAGTTTGTCAAATCTGAAAGGCAACGTAATCTGTACTGTAGATTACGTTACCCTTGCGGCCACCATAGAAGGCGGCATCTCTACTAGCGGTGCTAAGCTAGTTAGCCAGCTCCCTTGCTTTAATGGAGTCTGTTAGCATGGAGCAAGAGGAGAGCTTGATTCAACCTGCTCCGTCGTCGCTAAACGCCAGTGTTTGGACACACTTTGGTTTCTACAATGCCCCGGGGATAAAAGAACTCGACATGAGCACAGTTATCTGCAGGCAGTGCAAAATGAAATTGAAATACTTTGGAAATACGACAAATGCCGGTGCGCATTTGGCGCGACATCACCCCGAGATAAAAGACGTCCAAAAGCGTCCAAAAGCAGCTGACCAACGTACTCTGGAGCAATGCAACAAACTTCCACCTAATTCTCCAAGATCTGTGAAGATTTCCCACTCCATCGCCTGCTTATATCCACGGATTTACGTCCATATAGTTCAGTCAATGGCGAGGGGTTTATGGTCATGGTCAATACGCTGGACCCAAGGTAAGTTATACCATCACGTAGCTTTTTTARTGAAAAAGCAGTCCCACAGCTCTATCATGAAGCGAAGAATAAAGTGAAAGAAGCTCTGACTAACGCTCCAATATGGAATGCAATATGGYTGAAAAAAASKGRCATMTTTTTTCTTATTTTAGCTTTAAAGATTTACAAAACATTTTGGACTTAGTCTATATTTTATTTTCAGTTAAAGATTAATAAGCTATAACAATCCAAGTTACAGAATCTTATTTTTGTTTTTACAGAAAAAGATGTAAAAAGATTTTACACAAAATTGTTCTGAATAAATGTTTATTTGTTTACATTGCTTTTTTATTTTCAAATTAAACTTTATTAGACTGAGAAAATTTGTTTCAGAACCGAAAATTGTTTCAGAATCAAATCGTGACCTTTAAAAATCGGAATCRAATCGAATCACCAGACACTGAGAGATTCGCACCCCTAAAACCTACAACTGCAGTCCAATCAAATACTTAAATTCAATCCAATTCTTGATGGCCACCATCACTAATCAAATATGACAATAACTCTACAAATGTACAGGTATTGAGTAAGGTTTGATGTAGTAGGACTCTGAGCTGTAATGTAGTCACAAAAATGCACAATATTGTGAATATCGTTTACAAGGTTTGACTTAAACATCTACAGTTCTGTTCCTTTTCATCATAAAATGATCTAACGGTTTAAGATTCAGCATATGATGGTAGGTGATGGGAAATATGAATTGGTTCAGGAAATGCTAGGCCTTTAAGTGTAATCTACAATTCATTTCAAACAATGTGCCTTGAACATCTTTGCTCGCTTAATCTGCCTACACACGCATGCATTCATGTAYGCATGCACAGTCGGTCTAATGCAACTGTGTTTATGGGAACATTGCATCGACTTCCATTAATTTCTACAGCCTAAMCTTGACCTCTACTAAACCTAAACTTACCTGACCCAAAACCTAACCTAAACTCAATTCACAACCTTAATCTTAAACCAAACCCCTGACCCACCCCACCCCCGACCCTCTGCATGGGGACTAGGTTTAGGTCCCCATAAGTACCGGTTGGTCATCACAAGTTGGTGTGTTTTACCAAGATGGTCCTCATATTGTAGGGAATACCCACCCACTTAYACACACACTCTTCATCAAGAACATCAAAGTGAGTCAGTACTGCACTCAAGCTAATTTTGAATAAATGGTACTTTTGTTCCACAATAGGCACTGAATCCCAGCGACACAATTTTCTCTCCCCACCCAACATTTTGTGAGTTGGAAATGAATATCAGTAAGTTTCAGCAGCAGAAAAAGCAAATGTTCATCACTTCAATGTTATTATTGATACTGATACTTTTTTTTACTTTGAACAAAGAAACTCATCTATACTACTCTTGTTTTTGGTGAAGAATAATAAAACACATTTTTAAAAACACTTCATAAAGTGCAAATTATAAAAATGCAGATCTGCATAAACTTGAGATAGGGGACATTTTGCAGTGTTTCCAATTTTAAGGCAAATTTTGAGCAAATTTTTAAAAAGGCAAAAAAATGGGAAAGAAAGAGAAAATGTGAATCAGAYGTGTTTCCATCTACTGGCTTGGAGTGAATCAACCAGGCTACACAAAGTGTAATTACATTAGATGACGTAACAACAGGAAGTGAAATCACAAACTCGCAGCGATTACACATCTCAGGACAATGGAAAGAAGTTATTAGAAATGTGTTGCTACTATCAGGAAAGTAAAATCAGGAAATGTAATTATTCTGTCATATCAGCTGGTATTGTAAATGTTACATGCTGTTTGGAGATGTAGAACAAGAAACGGAACCCTATTGTTTCTGTTCCGTTTATTATTATTATTTTTTTTTATCCCTCTGTAAAACTCATACTGCAGCCCAAACCAAAAGGACAATGCTGAAGATATTTACAGGGTAGTAGAAAGGCCTTATGTGTACAGCAGAGAAAAATAATCAGACATTTCAACCAAAAGGGGGCGCTATGAAAAAATAAGTGGAGAAAGTGAGCAGTTCATCTGAACAGAGCAGTTCAGCCAGAGAGAAAAAAACATTGAGCTCTTTGAACATTAATTCTTCAAAAAGTGTGTGTATTTGTTCTAGGGGGTATTTGTTYTACGGGGTATGCCATTTTTGGCATACACACCTACTTGTGGGGACCATTTGGTACTTATTGGGACCAAAGTCTAGTCCCCATGGGGGAAATGCCATTGGTGGGTTGGGGGTTGGGTTTAGGGTAAGGGGTCAAAGCTAGGCTGTAGAAATTATTGGAAGTCAACGAAATGTCTGCATAAATATAGCTGAACAAGACCGTGCGTGTGTTTTAGCAAGAGAAAGACAAAGTGTCTCTGGATCACAGTCCTGGACAGCTGGATATTTAAGACTGTGAWCAAGGTTCTGGTTCTGAGTGGACTGACTGCAGCCCCCGCAGCTCATTATTTTTAATTAGCTCCACCTTTTCAGTACAGCTATTTTCAAGACGGTGTCATTAAGCTCTGAATACTCRGCTTTAAACACAATCACATGTTTGATGTTGGATTTCACTCACTAGATGTAAGACTCAGAACAAAATAAAGAAGACAACTTTACAAAGAAATGAACAAAGTTCAGAGTTATACTCTGGTAGTACTAATTGTCTGTTTGCATGTTACTTTGTAAAAGCTGTATATGTAGTAGAGGAATTAAAGCAGGGAAACTTTACACTAAATTATCTAAAATAGGTCYAACCTTCCTGACCTAGTTTCGTGTATTTATGTTAGATTGGTACATGTGGGTTATGAAGGACATTTGAAGGACAGTTGCAAGATTTAATGTATCTTCYTCTTGGTGAGATTCCCACCATTCTACATTCATTCTTTTTCATTTGAACACATAAAGCTGATTTTAACCAGGCTGAAACAGGCTGACATAAAATCAGAGTTCTTAACAATCTGTTTTCTAAGTTTAATAAATCAGTGTGCACAGATTTGCTAACAAACATTGTCAAATTAAGCAGCAGTCAGGTGAAGTGTGGACCCAGAGTTCTCACCCAGCCAAAGTTTTTAACAACTAATTTATAAATTACTCACAGTTCACATTAACAAACAAATGTGCTGTTAGTTTAAAAAGACTGAAAAAGAAAAGGAAAAGAAAACAAAGAACTAGATACTGCATAGCATTAGATTAGGTTATATGACCCCTGTACATACGCAAAGCACCAATGGTTCTTGGTGGGCTTGATGGACAGCCCATCAGAGCTAAACAACATAAAAATCTGAAGCTCCTACAGTTTTTGAGTTATAAGTCTTTCTGTATGTCCAGACAGCCCCTTTTCAAATGGAGCCCCCTCCTCAAATATGGGGTCTATCATAAAACCATTGGCTGGTGCAGTGTAGGTTGGACACATTGCTGATCAGTGCAGCACTTTCTGTGCTACAAT